AGTGGCTTGTTTGCTTTCCAGTTGACTTCTTTGGCAAAACTGGATCTGTGATGTTTGCTGAGGACACAACTCTCACAGACTTCTTTTGGATGATCAATGTGGGGCATACCTTTGACCATCTTCTTACTTGCTAGCATCTTCAGACTTGTGAAATTCAGATGTCCAAGCCTCAGGTGCCAAAGCCATTCTTCACTGTTGGTGATGACACTCAAACACTTTGCTGCATCATATTGGATGTTTAAAGGAAACCACTTATGGTGGCTTTGAAACACTCGGAGGGGATAAAACACTCTTTTATTTCAAGAACAACAAGTTTACAATAATGACAAGCTTACAATAACAACCCCTCTTTCTTTCTCTCTAGTGTTTCTCTCAATCTCTCCACTCATAATTGCATAAGCTTAGCTATCTATTTATACACGAAATCAAAACAAGAAAACTCAACCTTCAAGTATGAAGACGGTTTGTGGCCGACGATGTGAAAGCGGCTGACGGCATATATCTGGCGGCTGGTGACTGGTCGGTTGGTGGCTGAACGGTGACAGCTGGTAGCTGCCTTCCTTGACCTTCTGGATTAAGTTTACTTCAACAATTAGAAACACAAGGGACAGGGGTCAAGTAACTGTAAATCTTATAATCCAACTCATACAAGCCTCTTACATTCATCCCAGTGTAGTATTTTGTATAAATTCCCTGCTCTATGTGGATATGGAATGCTAGACTCTAAAATCTAAACTCATTTTTTCTCCATTAAGAGTACTTGGTGTAAAGCTTTTTGGTCCAACCTCTCGTTGAAGTGACAGGAACTATAAATAATTAACGGCACAGAATCTCTTTGTAAGGAAATCACTTCAACTTCTATTTAATAAAAAAAAAAAGCTTCGATAACAAAACGCACCCCTCTTTGTTATATTCTTTCTTTTTTTTATACCCTTTAATTAAGGAATTATATAATTCAATAAGTAAATTAATCAAATCCTAATTTGTCTAGAAACTAACAGCATATATTACCCCTTAAATGGACACGCATAAATTTAATTGAAAAAAGGCATTCAAACTTAACTTCAAGCTGTGTTCTTGCCTTGTCATTTCTCTCTTTCTTTTTTTGTAATTACCCCTTTATCTTTAAACAGATAATGTACCTCACTCAAATCACTGTCGGTTACTTCTCTTCGTGTCATTGAATTTATGCCATTGAAGCTTTGGGGGCCTCCCGAGTTTCCCTCCTCCTTTTCTGTCCGCATTTTCACCACAAAATATCCTGTGCTCAATCTTAGAAAAAAACAAACAACTGCTCTAACATCTTCAGTCATGTCATTTCAGATAGATACAAGTTCAATTTTAATATCTTTAATAGCATGTAGATAAAATGCTTGCTTGCTCTTGAGCAATCACCGTCGCTGTCGCTCCTCTTCTCTGCTCGCTCCTATTCATTATTAAAATAATGGTAGGATCAAAAAACTTCGATGTGCAGGCCAGGATGCAAAAAATCTGAAACTAATATTTATACCGATTGCTTTTTATTTAAAAATATATTAAGATAATATTTTTTTTATTTAATATTAACACATAAAAATAATAATAAAAACACTAAAAAGATAGTAATTTATTCTTTTAAAAAAATTAAAAATCATAAAAAAACACACCATTACACCACAAACATTTTCTAAAAAAATAAATGGGCCACCCCCCTTCCCTTATTCGTTTTCCCATTCTCTCACGTAGAAGCCCAATTCTCCATCAAACGCGGCCCATTAATACTCTCTCCCTCCGCCCTTTTAATTGAAAATGACTACAAAACCCTAAACTAAACCCAACCGCCTTCTCCTCTCTTGTCTTAAACCCTAAAGCACACACTGATAACCATCAGCACCCGGCAGCTGTAACTCTCTCTCCTGTGGCTGTTTCTATCAATCATGACCACGCCACCACCACCACCTGGTGTTAGCCCCAAAGCAGTGGAGAAAGCTGTGAATGCTCTTCTAAAATGGAGATCTTCCACATTGAATACCCAAAAGCCTCAATTACTCGAACAAGACGAGTTTTTCTACCTTATTCTAACCCTCAAAAAGATTCCACAAAAGGGTGTTAGCCGCATCAACGCCCACAAAATCCCTCTTCCCAACTCCTTGATCAACCCTTTAAATGAAGCCCCTGAGATCTGCTTAATAATCGATGACAGACCCAAGTCAGGCCTCAATAAAGATGCTGCCAAGAAGAAGATTCAAAACGACAACTTACCCATCTCCAAAATCATCAAGGTTTCCAAGCTCAAGACTGATTACCGTCCCTTTGAGGCCAAGAGGAAACTCTGTGATTCTTATGATATGTTCTTTGCTGATAAAAGGGTGGTTCCTCTCTTGCCTAAGATGTTAGGGAAACAGTTTTTCAAGAAGAAGAAGATTCCTCTGACTCTGGATTTGAAGCACCACAATTGGAAGGAGCAGATTGACAAGGCCTGTGGCTCTGCCTTGTTGTATCTGAGAAGTGGGACTTGTAGCGTGGTGAAGGTAGGGAGGGTTTCCATGAGTAGAGAGGAGATTGCCAAAAATGTGATGGCTGCTATTAATGGGATTGCTGATATTGTGCCTAGGAAGTGGGGTGGTGTTAGGTCTTTCCATTTGAAGTTGCTTGATAGCTTGGCTTTGCCTGTTTATCAGGTAGTTCCTGATTTGAAGTTGAAGATTGACGGTGGTCCCAAAGAGCAGGAGAATGACGAGGGTGTCGTCTCTGTGGAGGAAGATAAGGCTAAAGAGAGGAGAGTTGGAAAAAAGAAGGGAAGGATACAAGAGGTTAGATATATGGATAGTAATAATAATAATAATGATAATAATGGGGATGGTCAGGTTGTTGATGAGGATGAGTTGGGGAGTGATGGTGAAGGGGATATAGATAATGATGATGATGATTTCGAAAAGGTCAGTGATGAACTGTTAAAGAAGAGAAAGAAAGGCGATAATAAAGGGGAAGGTGAGAAGAAGGAGCAGAAGGTAGCTAAATTGAAGAAAGAAGATGTTGTCAAGCAAAAGCAAGTGAAGAATGAAGATGGTGTCAAGCAGAAGAAGCTGAAGAAAGGTTCTTTGGCTTCAGAGAGTGGGGGAATGCAAGTGAGGGGTGAGAAGAAGAAAAGATTGGCTGCATAATGATTCAATGTTGCTTCCTGGGAATCAGTGTGTATGGTTGCCGCCTGTCGGTCCTTTTAGCAGGTTGTGGTCTGAGATTTTAATTATGGTCTTGATGCCGTAACTTTTTGTTAGTTTATTTATATTTGCAAATTTAGCATAAAAGCTTTATTTAACTTAATCATGTATCTTGATTATGCAGAACAAAGAGAATGGTAACTTTCTGCTTTAGTATTCCATTGATTTGATCTCAAATTTACTTTCTTGTCTCTTGAAATGTCAGTTTTTTGCATGATGGTTAGAATCTAGTTCGAGTTCAGATGTTGGAACCTGCATGAACTAGAATTAAGCATATCTATTTATACTCATTTTTCTATGAAATGGTTCCATATGTTGTCTCGCAAGGAAACTGAAAGGAGTTAATTGTCTGATATGCATTGCACGACCATGGTAGACATACCTTTGAACTGCTTGTAATGGTAACCAACGGGTGAAAATGACCCTCCACCCAACCTGACCTGACCAGATGCTGGTTGGGTGGGGTTGATGGATATGGGTGTACCAGGTTGGGTGCAAGTGATAGTTATCGGTGTACCGGGTTTAGTGTTGTTGCATAGAAAACCCACCCCGATTTGCCCTGACCCATTGTCATGGAATACTGGTTTCTAAGGAAATTGAGAGCCATAGTGGCTTTAAAAAATGAAAGACTGTTTAGAGGAGGGAAAAAAACAACTTAAAAAGGAGAAAGAAGCGATGGGATCTTATAGTGGCAAAGTAGTGATCTTGTCATCTCTATTTTTGTTGTCATAATTTTCAAAAGATTGCATGCTGTTCCTGCCCATTTGCTTTTTGAATGTGCTGATTTAGTTTTCAATGTGCTGAGATTGGATAAATACACTGTCAAATTGAAACTTAAGGTGTTCATGTGCCTCTTATATCTTCTTAAAGAGTTTGATGTTTCTGCCAATTGACAAGCTATCTTGGTTGCTGAATGTTGGCCACAATTTGAATTACTATATAACAGATTGATTGGTATGGAAAAATTCCATCACTCTAAAATTGGTTTCTCAGGGATATGCATGTGTTGATTTTACTTGCCATTGCTAGTTGTTATAAATTATCATACATCTGGTAAAATTTCCAAACGGTTTAGGTTTCCCTAGTTTGTCTGCTATTCAGAAATCTTCTCTTCTAACATGGGTTGCAGTGTCTGCTCCACAGGAGTTAATGTACTAGGGCTTTGTATGCATGACCTATTTTCTCTTGTTTTTGAGCTTTACAAGCTTTAAATTTCAAAGGATGCATATCTTCTTGTTTATCGCTCATTTTGTAGAAGCATTTCCATTATGTCCACAACAAGCTACTGAAACTACAAATTATAGAATTGGAGGAAGAGGCTATGGTGGTGGAGGTATGAGAGTTGGAAGCGAAGTTATGGTTGAGCCTCATAGACATGAAGGAGCGTTCATTGCTAAGGGTGAAGAAGATGCTCTGGTCACTAAGAAAATTGTTCCTGGTGAGACTGCACAATCAGAAGAAAATCTGTTCAGGTATCATTATTTTTCTTCTATTGTTATCTCCATTCATGAAAATGCATCTTTTGTGAAGACTGAAGAGTGTTGTGTTTCTATTGCATCAAGTTTCTCTTTCTTGTTTGGTGAATATGTTGTGTTGTTTATATTATATATGTATTTATTTTATTAAATCATTCTTTTCTTCTCAGAATGAAGATGGAACTACAACCGAGTACAGGGTCTGGAACCCTTCCGTAAAAATTGGCAGCTTCCATTCTTGGTGGTGTTGATGATGTTTGGATTGAAAGTTTCATTCATGAGATTGCTCCCGCTTCATCTGGAAGAAAACTGGGGCACCCCGATCCTTTCCCCAGCAATATAGAAAAAAATTGCCTTGGAGGCTGGATTCTAAATAGGTCGTGATCAATATCTACACTCTTCTCCTGTTTTATTGCTGAATCAAGAAAACTGGCGCTAAAGTTCTTTACTGAAGAGCTGCTTCTGGCTACTACTTTCTCTCGCGTCTGATATTGTTGGCCTGCTGGCCATGTATGGATCTTATAATTTTCTTGTTTTTTTTAACTGATTTTTTCTACTGAATGGCTCTGTTTGCAAGATGGTAGGCTGATATGCACTGCACAAACCATGCGAAACGTGCTCTTGAATTGGATAGGAAACTTACTCCAATGTTGTGGGCTTGCAGAATACTGGTTTCTAAGGATGTTGTGAGCTACAGGGGGCTTAAAAAAAAAGAAAGAAAGATTGGGGGTGTTTGGAGGATGAAGAGGGAAAAAACTGGTTTAAAAGGAAAGAAGGAATGGTGATGGGAATTTATTCGATATGCCCGTTCTAGATACGGTCAATCCTTGATTGTCTTAAATCGTAAAAGTTTTGCGTGCAATCCTTGTCCATTTGCTTCATTAAAGAGCCGATGAGATTTTGGGTCTGCTGAAATTGGATGAGTTCGGGGTCAAATTGAAATATAAAGGCGTCCATATGCCTTTTTATATTTTTTCTGAAAGAGTTTGGTAGGAGATTTGAGCCCCTGTAATAGGACTTTGTATGCATGGCCTGTTTTTTCTTATTTTTGAGCTTGAAAAGCTTTAAATTTCAAAGCATGCTTATCTTCTTTGTTTATAGCGCAATTCGTGGAAGCATTTATTTCCATCATGTCCATAAAAAAAAATCAAATCCACTTCAGATACTGCTTTCATTGCAAACTAGTTAATGGAAACTACAAGCTTGAATTGATTTGGTAATGTATATATCAACACTACCTAAGCCACTATCTGACACGACCTCTCTTCCAAGAGGTTGGCTATGCCTAGAATGGCCGACAAACATAGTAAGGAAAGAAAGACCGACGATGCCTGTGGGACAGAGGACTCTAATGGTTTTAAGGCCCCATGAGGTCCCAAGTCACGAAAAATAATGCAAATACATGTATATAGGATGTATTCCATATCTGACTTCTTTTGTTTTACCATCATCTAAACGTGGGGCAATCCTCCATCTGCAGAGCCTAACTCCCGTTCATCATATATATAGGTTAGTCATCTGTGACTCCACTCCTCTACTTATAGATAGATTGTGTGTAGAATAATTCTGTTGCTCATTTTGCTTTTGCTTCTGCTGTCGCGGCCATTGCTGTTGCTGCTGTTTTTGATGGTATAAAAACTTAAGCCTTGCTATTTCTTTCTCTAGCATATCCTGCTCCACTGTGTTTAACAACATATGCACCCCATAAGTACAAATGATACTCAAGCTGGAGTCCAAAATATTTGTCGGGGGGGGGGTTGCAAAAATGATAAAAGTGTAGGGGTCACATCGAGAGACTAACGGTATTTTGAGAGTTGTTCCTGTGATAAACTATCCAAACGTTGCCTCAAGGCTTGATTCTCCATGCCGAGTATGAGACTTTGTCGGTATAGATATTCAAGATTGGCTGAAACTTGAGATCCTTCAGCCTGTACGGCAAACAAAAGAAATAGTCAAATCTTAAAGTACATATAGCAGGACAGTTGATTAAGTTACACTAGGGACGCTTCAAATTCTGCAGCCAGCTTGCCTCTAATATTTGGACACTTCTTTCAAGTTGAGCTATATACTGAAGTTTTCTCAAACGTGAACGCTGAGCGAATTGACTGCATGATTCTAAATAAGTTAAGAGCATCCCAATTGCAGAATTCAATTGCAAGCAAAAATGGGCATTACTAGAATACTCACTGCTTAGAACGTTTGGAATCCGTTTTTGATTTAGAAGGATTATGATTAACGTTAGATGAAACTTCTGAGTCATCTTGATTTTGCTTAACAATAGGTTTCGATGGCAAACCTACTCCAGCTGGTTCTTGTGAAGCAACTCCACTGGAACTGCTGGTCACAGAAATCAGGGGTGATTCCCTGGACTTATTCTTTTCCTTGTCAGGAGTAGAACCTGAATGAAAGCTAGTTTTCCAAGAATTTTCATGATAATTAATGGTGTGAAATTCCCAAGTAGGCCCACCAGCTGCAGCACTAGTTTTGAGCTTGGTTTCCTCTTTCCTAAATGTCTTGCTCGCTGTGTCCAGGAAAGCAACAGAGTCACTAGATGAACGTTGATGACCTTTGTACAAAGGCGAGCCTGGCTCATCCAGGAGTTCATCAAGCCAAGATAATTGCTCAACCAGAAAACTATCAGAAGAGGCGCGTTGATGGTGCGACTCTCCTTCCACAGGCCTCGAAAAGCCCTCTGAAGATTCTATTGCACAAGTAGAGATGTAATCGGTGCTGTAGGGTGGAAAAATCATTTCGACGGGGGTTCCAGAACGTGCTGGATTCTCTTTTGGAAAAAGAGAAAAAGTTTCCATATCATGAGGTCATGAGCCTGTTAGAATGCATGTGTTCAAGGAAATATATATCATTACAAAACGAAATGTTAAGAAACAAAGTTAAATAGGGTTGCAATATTGCTTGCTACATAATTTGACATGCACCAAGAAAGCTATCAAAAGAGCTCAAAGACTTGACAGATCATTCAAACCAGAAACATTAAGAGAAATCATTTGATTTGATGGAGACCAAACCACATTATTATGGATCAATATACATATCTACAATCGTTTCTTTCATATATAAATCCTTGTGTTTCTTCTAAAACAAGCAAAGAGTCGAAGGTTGAAAAAGAGCAAATCTAGAAAATTGAAAAAGGCGATTTAGATGATGTGTAAAAGGTAGAGTACCAAAAAAAAAAAAGGGAGAGAGAGGGAGAGAACCGGATGGTAGGATGAATGGAGTTCTGATGAAGAGGAAGGCAGCCAGGCAGCAGAGGCGTTTGCTAGAGATGGGGTATTATTATACATGTTGGAGATGTGCTGTCGGCTCCATTGTGTTAATGGCCTCTCTCTCTCTCTCTCGTACAAGTGTGAGAGACACCATAGGAAAACACAATCAAAAGAATATAAGCTTTTAATGTGATTCCCTAAAAAAGAGAGCCAATGGGCTAACCGCATTTTGCGTAAACAATTTACTACTGATAATAAGGAAAATGCTCCCTAGTCGTATTTAATCCAATATCCATGCCATGCAAAAGGGAGGTAGAGGGCTCTGGCTGTCTCCCTTCATTTTAAGCAAACCCTATCTATCTGTTTTAATTTGGCTCTCACTTCTTTCCATAAATACTGCCAAGTTAAGTAAATATAGTCATTCTATATAAAAAAAAAACAATCTGCTAACGATATCGTTCACGAGTTTCTTATCTAGCGAAGCTTTGAGGTCATTTCATTTCTTAAAAATGAAATATTCGAGGGTAGCTTTCCTGTTGACGTAGTGAGGTGATAGAGCTTGAGATGGCGTCCCAGCAAGCCGGGCCATTACTGATGTTGATTCTGCCTTGTCACAGAATATGCCAACTAAATTCCTAGTCTCGGACATAACATTAGTCCTCCAAATCAGGCAGATCCCAGATTCAAATGATGAACCCAGCCCAAGCCAATGGAACCCAATTAATAGATAAATCATTATTTTTCGAGTCAAATTCAATGCTGAGATAATATTTCATGATAGGGCTGTTAGTAAATGATACATGTAGTTCTTTAATTAAAGAACAAAGACCAGAGAATAAAAAGAACACAGGCGAAAAATATAAATCACAAAGAGTAGAAATTCAATGGAGAATAAAAAACAACCATCATCTACTTTATCTAAGGATATATATATATATATTAATGAAAGCAAAATTTTAACATTACAAAAATACAAAGAGAGAAAGCAAAAGTATGATTTTGATCTAAAAACCAAGATGTCTAAATGTATGGAAAATATCTCTTTTTATAGGCTAAAATTGAAAATTATTGATTTGATGACTAATTAATGAGTGGGTGACCAACTCTTGACTTGGTGACAATCCTTATCTTCTCTTGTTTGAATAAAACATCATTGATAACATGATAATTTGAATCAGACCTCTATATGAAATTGTAGGAAATTATCTTAACTTTCCAGAAAAAAAATTGAGGTCATTTGAACTTCTAGAACTCAAGATATGGGCTGAACATTCAATAGTATCTGAACTGTAATACAGATTCAGACTTTTTTATTGTTGCTGCAATTTGAACTTGAAAACTGCCTTATTAAGACCAGACCTCCACATAAAAGTTGTAGGCCTATGTCTTACCATTCCATGCATATAAAGTAGACCTAAATCTAAGATCTACAACTTTAGATATGACCCAATTACCAAATAGTATTCTAGTTTGGACTGCACCAACATCTCTTTTCTAAGTTTGACCATCTCTTTGTCCTTTCAATTTCAGTACTTAAGCTTATCAATCAATCCTTTCATTTATGTGATAGACCTATATTTAAGATGAATATTTACCACAAATTAAAGGTAGGTTGTTAGATATGTTGTTATAAAACATGCTTTACTTAAGGAGTTATTGATACTTTAAGTGCAAAATAATGATATAAACCCTTCATAAAAATGTACTTTTAAGTACTAATCAATTCTTCTTCTTGCTGGAATTGTCTAATAGCATAATACTTGATCTTTATATGCTTGGTCCTGTTATGAAAAATAGAATTTTTAAAAATAACTATTGCTGATGTGTTATCACAAAACAATTATATGATAACACATCAGCAATAACTATTTCAACTATAAAGTGCTGTAGATTAACTCTAATTCTCTTTCTTGCTGGAACTGTCTAATAACATGGTACTTGAACTTTAAATGTTTGGTCATGTCATGAAAAATATAATTTTTTGAAATAATTATTGCTGATGTGTTATCACAGAACAATTATGTGGGACTTCGCTGATCAAAGTTTAGATCATTCAACATTTTCCTTTGCCATATTAATTGCTTTGTTGCCACATATGCTGCTATGTATTCTGTGTCTACAGTGGAATATGTAACCACTAATTGCTTTTTTGAGTTTCAACAGAAAATGCTTCCTCCCATAACAAAGCAATAACCTAAAGTGTTCATCATTTTTTCATCACTTATAGCCTAATTACTGTCAGAAAAACCAACAAGTTTAATAGAACTAGATTTCAAAAAATATATGCCAAACTCTAGGGTTGCTTTCAAATATCTTAGAACTCTCTTGGAAGCAACAAAATAGATTTGACCTAGACTTTGTATGAACCTAAAAAGGTAATTGACAACAAACACAATCTCTAGATGTGTAGAAGTTAAATACAATAGGTTGCCAACTAAACTTTTATAGGCTTTACCATCAGTTTTGGGTGCTCCATCCTCCATTAGCTTTTGTCCCAATATCATAGGTGTACTGATTGGTTTGCAATTTTCCATTGCAAATTTATTTAGTAACTTTATAGTAAACCTCTTTTGATATAGAAAGTAACCTTGCTCAGATTGAGTTACTTCTCATAGCTAAGAAGTATGATAGTAAACCAAGTTCATTCATCTCAAACTTATCCTTCATGTTTGTTTTAAACTCTTCTACCAGTTGTTACTTGTCTCCTGTAATCAATAAATCATCTATATACACTGAAACGATTTGAGTATGTTTATCAACATTCTTCATATACAAAGTTGCTTCATTCATGTTTTTTTTCAAAGCCTAAACTCAAGAGATAATTGTCCAATCTACTGTACCAGGCTCTAGGAACCTGTTTAAGTCCATACAAAGCCTTTTTTAACATATACACTTTGTTTAACATGATCTTCTTGTCAAAGCCATCAGGTTGTTCAACATGTATTTCTTCATTTAGAACACCATTTAGAAATGCAGACTTAACATCTAACTAAAAAATATGCCAACCATTTTGTGCTATTAGAGTAAGCAAAAGCTTTATTGTATCTAGCCTAGATACTAGAGCAAATGTTTCAGTGAAGTCAATACCTGGCTCTTGTGAATAACCCTTCACTACAAGTCTTGCTTTGTGTTTGTTGATACTCCTATCTGTATTCAACTTGGTTTTGAAAATTCATTTCACACCAATTACCTTCTTATGAACGAGTCTATCAACCAGCATCCGTGTTTCATTCTTTTATATCATCATGAGCTTCCCTTTTATTGCAGCTATTTATGCTTGTGAGTTGATAACTACTTTAAAATCTATTGGTTCTACTTCAGCAATATTGCACTTGCTGTAAATATCAGTTAAGGATCTTATCCCCCTTACTGGTTTGTCATCGACATCATCATTATCCTTTGCAACATCCAGCTCAATTTGATGCTCTTGTTTTGTCCCTTTAATTGATACAACTTTCTAGATTCATATAATATTCTCTACAACTTTTACATTTTTAGCTATCATAAATTTATTAAATTTCAGATCATAGATTTTATAGGCCTTATATTTTATGTTATAGCTTATAAGAATTCTCATATTAGCCTTTTGATCAAGTTTTCTCCTCTTAACATAAGGTTATAAGAAATAATACGGGTTGCCAAAAACTTTTAAATGATCAACATTGAGTTTAAAACCATAATAGATTTCATAAAAAACACTGTCTCCCAAAACTCTTATGGTCATACGATTTAGATGGTAGGATGCTATGTTTATTGCCTCTGCTTAGAATTTTACCGTCATTTTCTTCTTATATAGCAAATGTCTTGCCATTTCCATTAATGTTTGGTTTCTCCTCTCACTAACTCCATTCTGTTGTGGAGTGTAGGGCACTATTAGCTAATGTTTGTTCCTTTTTTTTTGCCAAATATCCTTTAATTTTTTAATAGGTAAACTCACCCTCATTGTTTGATCTTAACATCTTCAGTTTGTTTTTTGTTTCCAGTTCAACTGTTGTCTTAAATCTTACACACTCAACAACCTTATATTTTAAAAAAGAAACCCAACAGAATCTACTATCATCAACAAATAATAGAAAGTACTTTGAACCATTCAAAGATTCATTGTACATCAGACCACATATATCTGTGTGTACTAGTTAGAGCTTTGATGATGCTCTTAATGCATTATCAAGAAAAACAATTCTAGTATGCTTTTCTAATTGATAGGCTTCACAAATATCCTATTGTTCTTGTATTTCTGGTAAACCAGAGGCCATCTACATATCAACCATCCTTTTTAAGGTTGCATAATTGAAATGCCGCAATCTTTTGTGCTATAGAATAGAATTAGTATAGATACAAGTGATAACACTCAAACAAGCTTCTTTCCAATCAATATTAAAACTTCTATTCATCATTTTAGCAAAGAGCAGTAGTATTTCCATTTTGTCTCTAATATTACACATTCCGTCATTAAAAGATAATGAGTAACCAAGTTCAAGTAATTGTCTCATATTTACTAGATTTTTATTAATCTTAGGTACATAAAGCATATTTTTTAGAGTTTTTGTACATGACATTGTTTCAACTTCAATCACCCCTTTTACCTTTAACCTTCACATATTTTTCATTAACAATTTTGACTTTGAATATGTAGCTTTTATCCAAATCCTTGAATAATCTCAAATTTGCAGTCATATGATTAGAGCAGCCACTATTAATAAGCCATGACAAATTGTTTACCTATGTTATGTTGCACATTTGTTCTAATATAGCCATGAATAAATGATCTTCCTTGGCTTATGAATTTTTTACAATATAAACTTGTTTCACTACTTCTGGTTTATTTTTGTAGAACCTTTGGATGTGACCAAATTATTTGCAACTTCTTCATTGTGGATTCTTAAACCAACACCAAGTTTCTTAATGATTTGTTTTCTGATAAAATTTGTAAAGAGGGAAGTGCTCTTTTATTTCCTTCCCTCTAGTGATGTTGTTCTGACGCCAGTTATTTGATTGCCAACCTTTTCTTTTCTCTCATTTTCATTCTTGATTGTTCTTGTCAAAATTATTAGCCCAACTATTATTTTTAAAAACTGCAACAAGAGCTTCTTTACTTGTTCTTTCTTGTTTATAAGCTTGCCTTTGCTCTACTACTTGTAATGCATTAACCAATTCTTGAAAACTTAATTCTAAAAAATCTTTTGAAACTTCTAAAGAGTAAATCTTATACTTAAATTTCTCTAGTAGACTTGCCAAGACCTTCTCTACTATTCTTGAATCTAGAAAGCCTTCCCCTTAAAGTCTCACTTGATTCACAAGTTTTGAAATTTGAGAAAAGAAGTGTTTAATAGTCTTGGTTTTCTTCATCTTTAGTTTTTCAAACTGTCTTATGAGATTAAGACTTTCATTTTTCTTGACTTCTCATTTTTATGAAATTCTACTTTTAGTTTACCCCATATTTTTTAAGTAGATTTACAAGCTATAATTCTGGTGAAGATTTCTCCAATCACAGCATTACGAAGACAAGTAAGAGCTTTGAATCTTTTTGCCTTTTCTTCATTAAAAAATTCATATATGCGATTGTAGGATTGTTTTCTAGTGGAATTGGTTGCTTATCACTTTCTACTATCTCTCATAAGTCAAAAGCTTTGAGATAAATTTTTATATGACTTTTGTAATGTGTCTGATCAATCTTATACATTCCATCCTTTTTACAGAGCTTTTCCTTTTGGTTTATAAGAGTGCTCATTTCTTTGCATTCTTCAAGTTTAAACTTCTTTAGAATCTCCTTGGTGTATTTCTTATAATAGATAAAGACTTCATGTTCATTCTATTCAATTTCCATTCCAAGAAAAAAAGTCATCAAATCGAGATTTGTCATCTCAAAAACCTCTATTATTTCTTGCTTAAAATTCTCCACAAGAATTGTGTAGTTTCTTATCATGAGCAGATCATCCATATACAGTGAGATGATAAGAATGTTGACTCCGTTTTGCTTGACATACAATGTTGATTTAGAGAAGCTTTTAGCAAATCTAAAGTTCTGCAGATGTTCATTAATTCTACTTTATCAAGCTCTTGGAGTTTGCTTCAATCTGTAGAAAGCCTTTTTAAAAAGACAGACTTTGTCTTCTTCTCCTTCTTTTACGTAGCCTTTTGGTTGCTCTACATAAATCTCCTTCTATGAAAAACCATTCAAGAAAGCTGACTTGACATCTAATTGGTACACCTTCCAATTCTTTTATGTTGCAACGGCAAGTAAAAGCTTGATAATATCAAGTTTAGCTACTGGTGTGAAGGTATTTGAGTAATCTACATTGAATATTTGAGCATATCCTTTGACTACAAGTCTGGCCTTATACTTATTGTTTGAGTCATTAGCATTAAGCTTGATTCTATACACCCACTTGACTCCAATTACCTTTCTATTTTGGGGTCGATCAACCAGCTCCTATGTTTTATTCTTTTCAATTATGAACAACTCCTCCTTCATTGTAGCAATCTCATTTTGATTCTTCAAATTCTGCTAATGTTGCATCTTTGATAAACATTAGAAAGTAGTCTTGTCCCCCAGTGGGAGTGTAATCCATCATGACATTATGCCAGTCTTTTATGCTTAGGAAATGAAGAAAGGTTTGAAACTTCCTGTAGATTCAGCAACTAAAAGTAACTGTGACTTGCTAATACGAGGCAAAAAACAACATTTTGAAGATGAAACAATCCTACCATTTAAAATACTCATGCCTCGTCAGTAAACATTTCAACACAGAAGATAAAATGCATATGAAACATTTGAATTGACTTTAAATTTGTCACTAACACAGTTCTTGATTCAGTGTCTTCCTCTGCATGAATTTCTCCATCTGCAAATGCAAAAGGTTATAAAATTTAATGAATGAAGATATCAACTGAGAGCAATAGAAACTTCAACCGTTATTGTCAACTTGTTAAGCAAGATCAAAAAAGGAGGAAGATATTATGGAAGGGAAATCTTGGAGATCCATAAAACTTGTCAAAACAACAAGTTGTAATCCTAAACCATTTGAAGCGTCGAAACCGCAAAAACTACACTTAACATTATTATGCAACTCTTTATTTAAGCTGATTGAATTCGATTAATATCAGACCGCATCATTCTAGAAGATACAAGTTGCATCACCAACATCGAATTAATTTGAATGGCAATCATATATGACGTATTTATTTCCAATCCGTGAAATGTATTTCTTCATTTTTAACTCAAATTAGATCCCAGATTGCTACTTGGGAATAGTGCATCAAACAAAATTGTTCAGATTCTCCTCTTTAAAATTCATCAGCTTATACCCTCCATTCTTTCTTCCTTTCTGACCAAGACAAGTATCTATGCTATTTCCATATATAGCCGTGCAGTACGGGGGGTGTGCGTGTAGGGGAGGGGGAGGGGGAGGGAGTGGTGTGTTGTTAGCTATTTATACATCTCGTTCAGTTGTGGAATAACCTACCAGAAAGAGACAGCAAATTGGACTTTCCATCTCAACCTGTTTCTGTTTCACTTTCCGCAACACCGAAGGCCTTATGCTTCAACACACTGATCAAATGTTTCCTATTGTAAAATTAACAACATATTTTAGAGGAGTGAGATAAAAAGCAAATCAGCTCTTTAATAAGATCAATCGTCAGTACTGTCCAAAATAGAAAAGTAAAATCCTCTTTTAGTTGCTGTTTCCCATAGCCTGCTGAGCTAGACCTGCCTTAAAATACTCTTGCAGCATTTGTCACTAATTAACAATGGTTTAGAAGGCAGCACATACCAAAACCAAATATGGAGTAGCTTTAGAATCTTCTTTGAACAAGCTCAACCTCTTGGAATTTTGTGAAAAGTCTTGGCACTGAAGCTCCTTCCCTTTACCGCTGGCCAAAGCATCAAGGTCCGTACAAATTTCGCCAAAGTGTCCGTTTCGTCTATTATTATTTCCTGCTCTCAGGCTGGATGTTATCAATGCTAGCTAGGAACTCCTTCAGTCATGCCCCTTTAAGTTCATTGTTTAAAACGGGAAGCACTCTTTTGCGCTGGTCAAGCTCTTCCTGCTTCTGATAGACTGTATCCGAACTACCACAAACCTCAAACGGTTTTGCTTCCCAAAGATACACCATCGCATTGCTTTCCCAACCTATCCCTGACACTAATACGACGCTTTTCCCTCTGGTGGAACTCCACATCAACAGATATTGGCAAGAGACATTTTCCTGAAAGTTAATTGAAAATTGTCTACACATGCATGAACATGGAAGATGAAAAAATGATCTTACTTTTAATTGAATCTGTGAAAGATTATTATTATTATTATTATTATTAATTTTATATCAATAAATCAAACCTCATTATCGAAGCAACTGATTTACACAGAATAGGAAACAGAAGCAGCATTAAAGATGAGATATCTATGCATTTTGCACGACCTCGATGAAAGAAAATATCAGCTAGTGTGATTGCATAAGAATTGGCTGCATTAATTATGGAGGGCTGTCGATTTCTAAAAGCTGGTTCTCTTCTGGGTATTCGCTGATCAGATAGCATGGTGCAGCTGCCATGGACAATCTGCTGGGAATGTTCAAGTTAAACGGTTGGGAAGAAGCTAGAATAGGCAGATAAAAACTTGTGGCTCTGCCTGCCAACCTTCTTTGCATCATCAATACACACACTGATAGTTTTACTTTGCATCGGAAGAGAATTTTTCTGTTATTAATTAAGGATAAAAGATGAAAGAAATTGGAGTTAGTGGTGGTGAGATGGTGGGATCGGAAGGGGACCAAATAGAAAACAAGGGCAGGCAGCACACCCACCAATCACATTCATTCATCCACCGGGATGTATAAAATTATAATATGATCTTCTTTTCGGTTCGGATCATTCAGTCCTTTTTATCTAACTAACGGCTCCTTTTTCTTTCATTCACAGACAGACCTGCCCGCTTCGCTTCTCCCTCAAAAATTTGAAATGCTTCTCTCTCTCTCTCTCTGTGCCTCTCTGTTATTAATTACTATTATAATAAATCCCAAAAGCATGTGATTTTGAAAATGTTGATGTTTCTTTATCGGACAACGTCACTCTCTCTTATCTATCTATCTACTTCAAGTTTCTTACGGTACGAGAGAGAGAGAGAGAGAAACCATTCACTTCCAATCCCTTTAGACCTTGTTTTCCTAAAATAGATTAAATCTAGTTTTACACTCCTCTCTGTTTTCTAGTAAACTCCCCTTTCCTAGTACTCTTTTAGTTAGGCTCCTCCTCTTGTTTTTACCCTAACCCCCCTCTCTCTCTCACTTCATAAAATCGTTCTCTGTTCTGTTCTATTGATTCACCAATCACCATCATGGGCTGTTGTTTTAGCAAGAAAAATGAAGTTTCTTCTTCTTTGAATGCCTCCCTACCAATTCTAAACACTCTCAAGCTTGACAAGAATGAGATTCAAAACAACAAAAACATGATAGTTGAGGATAAGGAGGTCAAAAAACAGGTTGTAGAAGAAGGGAGCTTTGTCAAGAAAGAAATTTTTGTCATCAAACACAGGAAAAACCAAGATAAAGACAAACGCATCCCTCCTCCCGACCTCAATATTGCACCACTAGAAGATGGCCCTGCGCCCACTGCTACTGCATCTGCTGCTGAAATATTATCGGGCAACAGCAGCACCAATGTTGGTGCTCATAATATGGTTCTGAGAACATCACGCTGCACAAAAGAAGAGGTAGATGCCATTCTCATTCAGTGTGGAAGGCTTAGCCGCAGCAACTCTTCTGGAGCTGGAAAGCCCCCTTCTTCTGGCATAAAGTACTCCGGTTCCAAGAGGAGCTACGACTTTGATAATAATAATAATGACCAGGACCAAGATGTTGAGTCTTCCACTTCTGCTGATCATTATGATTTTAGAAAGAAAGGCAATGATGAAGACGATGGCGAGGTTACAGCCGAGGGAAGGCAGCATCGCAACCTCCGCCGCCAATCTAGCAGGCCTTCTCCTTCTCCTTATCCTTCTCCTTCTTCACAAGGGAGGAGGAGGACACCCAGTAGGGAAAGGGACCAGAACCAGCGCCCCAGCAGCAGAGAGAGGGGCAGTGGTAGCAGTGGGAGAAGGGTGAGTCGATCCCCGTGTAGAAGGTTGGAAACAACCCAAAACTCAGGCGTTACTGCTGGAAATGCTAATGCTACTGTTAATGCTAACAATACTGGTGGTCCTAGTAATGGACCTGGAAAAATGGTATCAGTCCCTGCCACTGTTTCTTCTTTAGTGGTGGATAAGAGCAACAATGGGGTTGAACCGCAAGCAACGGCTGGAATTAAGCGGATCTCAGTTAAGAGAAATGTTGGTGAGGCAGCGTTGACCTGCTCAAGGACGGTCACATCGCCACGTTCCAAATCTCCTGCCAGAACCAATGCTAAGACCTCTAATGAGAATAATCAGCAGCCATCTCTTAGCCGCAGCAATTCAAGAAAAGCAGACCATTCACCTTACAGAAGAAATCCATTGAGTGAAATTGATCTCAATTCACTTCAATATTTGCTACCACCTGCCAACAAGGCTACCTGCACCAGCAACAACAGAGCACAAATCAGAAACAAAGATATCGAAGGACAAGTGGTGGTGAAGGAATCTTTCAATCTTCCAAATCAGGTATCGCTTACCTTTCAATGCATAGTTTGTGGCTAAAGGAGGAATGCGTGATTTTCACCATTACAAATGTCTTTTTTTTAGGCACCTGTTAGCTAAAGAGAGTAAAAATACTGTTTCTGGGACATAAATTTTCCCTTTATGCATGCTTTTCAGACTCCAATGAAGAAGCAAAATTCTGAGAAAAACAACAGAGTCAATGCTCAAGTGACTAATTGCAGAGACAGCAGCATAGTTTCACTGGAAAACAAGATCTCAAAGGAACAACAAATGGAAGAGGCTAAAGGACAGCCAACAGACATGACCACTGTCGTAGACTTGGGAGTTCAAAGCTTGAAGCCCACATTAACCAAAAGCAGGTCAGCTAGGCGGTCGCGAGACCTCGACCTCAATCCTGAAACTTTGTTGAATCCAACGCCATCATATACCGCACTACTGCTGGAAGACATTCAAAATTTTCACCTGAAGAACACTCCATCCTTTTCTCTCCCAGCTTGTGTCACCAAGGCCTGCTCCTTTCTTGAAGCAGTTGCTGACCTCAATTCCACTACAAGCACCAACCTGTCATGTGCCTTTTCTTATGATAGAAGAAGCCCCCCTACAGTGGCTGCTGCTAATCTTGTTGGGAAGAAACCACCTGAGGCAAAAGACCCATTTGTAGAATCTGAGGTACTTGTAAGCGATGACCTTATGAAGCCAAGCTTTCACAAGTATGTAACAGTGAGAAGAGGAGGTACATTATGCGGGGAAGACATGGATGGTCAAGAATCGTCAGGCAGTGACAGCGCTGTTGGTGGTAGCCAACAGCATTTAGGATTTTCAACCTCTTCCTGGGAACCCAATTCATGGGTCTCAACTGATCGCTGGACTTCAAGATCCAACTGGAGAGATGAGGACGAGAAGAGCCCACTGGGATTTCAAAAGCATGGATTGTCTGAAACAGGCCGTGATGTGGAACAGGCCAGAAGGGCATTCCGTGGACAAAGGAGTGGAATTGGACGTGGGAGACTTGGTACGAGTAAAAATCTCCACTCAACTGCTATCCTTGCAAGTGCTGCTTCAACATAATCCACTCAGTTGTGTTGTTTTCATTTTCCACGTAGTTGTGGCTTTTTTAAACTTCTAGTCGCAAAGATTACTTTGTATGGTTGCAAACTTGCAACCTGTTATTCTTGTTCATTCAAAGAGGTTTATTCTCCCCGTGTTCGCTATATGTTCTTTCCATTGTGGTTGGATGCCAATGAGGGATAATTAGGGATACCATTTCAAGCAAGTAAACTCAATCCTTATTCATATGTAGAGATCACAAGCAAGCAGGAGTATTATCCTAATAAACTCAAACGTAAGTAGATACACCAGAGGAAGCTTCAGTTAATAAATATATGAACATCATAAATAAAATATTTCGCAACAACAATAATTTACATAATTATGGAACCTGAACCATGATACAATGCCCTGGAAGATGATGCCATCAGTTTTAACCATGTACATGCCAAATGCTCTCGATCAATCTCCCACAAGACCGGTATCAAACTGATTAGCGAACAAGAGGACAGTTAGTTCTTACTTCAATATGGAACTGAACAAGTACAACCCTGCAGGGAGCAGTCTGCCTGATACAAGAGCACTAAAACAAATGGCTCCGACAATGTGAACGGTATATTAGCCTCGAGAATTGAGAGAGCTCCCAACTATTCCAGCATTCCAAGAAAAACTTGTAAACCCACGGCAGACATCCCATGATCAACTTTTCCCTATAAACTTGTTTATTGAACTTACACATACATGCTTTGAATATGCCCGAATAGAGGGGTAGAGCCCACAGAATCAAGAGCCAACCTGATGATCAAAATTGGTCTTATTCTGTCTGTCTGCATCTTATATAGCCCACTCTCTCACTAATACATCACTCATTACAGTTCGGACAATTAACTATATATATTGCGAGCACAGTAACAATGGGCCCAACCAGCTGCAAGGGTGAGAAAGTCTCACCAAGATATAGAAACCTGGGGTTAGAAATCATACATGACGAAACAAATCAGACAAACACTATGAAATATAATGCATCATACATCATTGCATGCCCCTCTGTCAGAGTTAAATGCAACAATAATAACATAAATAAATCCATAATATAAATCAATTCTCTTAGTACAAAAGTTGATATACATTAATTATAAATAAAAAAATAGTTTTTGAAAGTTTAATAAAAATAATATGCTCAACAAAGCTATAAACTTGAAAAAAAAAATAATAAAAAGATAAATTTAACAATGTAGTGAATAAATAATATTTAATATACATATACGAGGTAATGTAATAATGAGAAATATATATACAGATTTAGCTTTAAATTTTTAGTTGAAAGTTTCATAACAAACCATAACAAGAAATACCATAAGGTAATGTTCGTTAGAAAATTAAAATGCAATGAGTATGATACTCTAGATTATGGGATAATTAGTTGCCACAGATTAATGACTCTCTCAACGACCAACTAGGATTTAGAATTACTATCCATACAAGGACTAACAATATCCTATTATAATGAATATTATGATTGGCATGTCATAATGTTATAATCAAATTAAATAAAATCATTTTTTTTAATCTCAACTCATAAAATCAAAGCTATCAATTTAAAAACACATGATAAATCATATCAAGAAATTAGTCTTAATAAATGATTATGTTTTATTATAGATAAGATATAATAAATAATATATAAATTACCAATAAACATGATTCATTTCATATTAACAATTCAAATATCTACAGTATTCATCTTGTATATGAAATATTATTCACTTACCTGACTTAAAAGTAAAAAAAAAATACAAAAATAAATTGATGACATTTTACTGATACCCAACAAGTAGAATATTAGGAATATTTGAATACAAAAAAAACCATGCTAAAAAAAAATTAAAAAAGAATGTACAATCTATCTAATACACTTAACTTAGGGTTTAACATATAATCCTATGTGTTTAGGAACTTAAATGTAATTATAAAACCAAAATAGATTCACTCGATTAATCTCAAACTTATTCCAAATTAACCAAACCTAAAAGAATCGATTAATCGTTATTGTCTAGTCAACCGGTCAACTTAAATCTACTAACTGGTCAACCAAAATCCTTTAAGCAAACTAGTCAATTGAATTCAAAGAATCTAAACAGTCGATTGACTCAAATAAATTAATCAACTAGTTAATCGAGATTTCAAATTCTCGATCTACCAATCTTCCAACAATGACAGACCTCCAAAAAACTAACATATATATCAAAAACTTAAAATAATCAACCCATGACATTTCATATACATCATCAATGTAACCTATAACATCAATTTCAAAACCCTAAACCCTAACAAAATCATATATGTTAAAACATAACTCTTACCTTAAAGAACTATTTTCATCAATTATCTTCCCTTTCCTCTCTCTCTCTCTCTCTCTCTCTCTCTCTCTCTCTCTCTCTCTCTCTCTCTTCTTTTCTTCTTCTTCTTCCACTTCCGGTTCTATCTCTCTCAATTTTAGATTTTCTATTTTCTTTCTTTTTCTATCAATTATAGTGTAACTACCTCAATATCCCTCGTTTATTTATACTTGATATTTACTCTACCAAGGACATTGTTGTCTTTTCCTAGTAAAATCTTTATTTTTATTTCAAAAATTACAATATGAAATATAATGCATTGTTGCCTTAAAAGTCTCACTAAGATATAGAAACCTGGGGTTAGAAATCAAACATGACAAAACAAATCAAACAAACCCTATGAAATATAATGTATCATACATCATGGCTTGGCCCTGACCACCGCTACTCAACTTATCTTTATGTCTATTACTCTTTTCCAAGTGGATTTACATTAGGCAGTGAAATCAAGTTTATCGATCATCCATTTCACATGTTGTTTTAATTGCAGATCATAAGATTATTCGTCTAAGATTGTTTTGTGCACACAAGTTAGTCCAAGCTAATGAGTTACATTTTCATTTCTTATGTTGTTCTTATTGATGGAACTTAACCAAAAATTAAAGCAATCATTTAGGTTTGGAATTTGAGGGAACTGAGCCTTTTCAAGCTACCTGAAATGCATAAGCAAATTAAGGTAGATTATTTCAGGAAAGGATTCTTGGTTAAGTTTGGACAGATTCAAGGAAATTACGCAAACTTAAGTTTAAAAGAAGCAAAAAGATCATTTGAACCATGTATTATATGGCCAACTTGGTTTTAATCAACAAACACTAAAACATAATAGACAACCAAAATGAAAAATAAACCTTTTGTTGCACTATAGTGTTAGGGAATCCGGACCGGTGATGTATTGATATTTGCTCATAGAAGGTTAAGCACACTAACATAATATTTAACGTGGTTTGACAAATCGCCAACATCCACAGGAGAGTCAATATTATTACAGATAGAGAAAGAATACAAAATAAATACATGGAGAAGGAGGATCTTATCTTCTCTAACTCAACTCTCAGCTCATACACACTGTTGTATATGGTAACAGCTCCTCTTTCACTCTTCTTCTCTTCATTTCTCTCTACACTCTCTCTCATTTTGCTCTTAAATAATGCCTCTATTTATAGGCAATTCATGGCAGACAAGAGGGCATAAATCATGGCACAAATTGTGGCACTGATGGTAGCAACATATGGGTTGCACCATTTTATCAATGGTTGGTGTAACTACCATTGTAGCCATTTGACAATGGCAACCCTACTCCTTAGGGTAGGCTGCAAATGTATTACCCATTAATGGCAATATCCCAACAATCACCCCCTTTGACATTTATATGGGCAATTCCTTCTTCAACACAAACTTGCATCCTGCAACTCTTCCAAACTTACCATTTCGAGAGCATATGTGGCCAAGTTTACAGGTAATTGTCACACATTTCAATCACTAGAGTTATCAAAGCACACCCTTGCTCACACCAAAGGATCACTTCAACCAAATGGTCTTCTACATCACATTTGAAGAGTGTTTAACGCTTGTCTCTGGGACATAACATTCCCCTTCGAGCATATCAACCATGCTCGGTCCGGAATGATTTATCAAGCCTCACATTAAGGCTTGCAACACCTCCTTAAATTGAAATTTCTCTTTCCAAGTGCGACAGTCATTATCTCAATATCTCAATATGATCACGAGCTCACCACTCTTCCAAGAGTCTATCATCCTGGAGTTGCGTCTGCCCTCTGTTCCACCCTAGGAACCATGCCTTACTTCTCCATGAGTCTCTCACTCTTAGTCCAAGAGTCCAGGTAGCTCTTTACCTTTAACCATAGGGGCAACCCATTAAAGGTTGATCCATATCTATCTTTATACTCCAAGTATTACAATGCCATTACCGAGCTCACCACCTTGACAAAAGTCAACTTGTTTTAAGAACCTGTGTATGCCGTCTGTTCCTACATAGCAGTTGTATCTTAATGCTCTACAAGTCACTCACTTATTGTCCAAGGCAAATGTCTTTTAGCTTGATCTTTAGCATGGAGACAATATCTATGAAAGTCAATCCTGTATTTGTCTCTATACTCATCATAGCCACTTCATTGGCTATTCATCTATCCACTCATATCTAGCCATCACATCGACTCTGGGGCGTTCTATAATTGGAGCTCCTATCATGGCCCTCACACCTTCTCCTGAGGTGTTTCCGCTCGTCATCATGCGGTGGTCTAATCTTGGGCTCATATCATGGCCCTCACACCTTCTCTCTAAGGTGTCTTCGCCTTTCATAGGCAGTTGTATCCTCCTTCAACTAGGACGCTTCAAAGTGGCTTCAAAATTCTCTACCACCATGTGGACTTGGCAGAGATCATTGTCACTGATCATATAGAAAGAGAGAGTTGTAGTACACTCATCGCAATCTTCATCTCAATTTCTATGTTTGGAGCTTCTATGTCTTTCTACTTAATAGCTCCACCTACACCAACTATCTTTGGTGTCTTCACCTTTTATCATAGGCAATCATCTTTTATCATAGGCATTTGCACCCCCTCAATTAAGGAGCCTCTGCAACAGCTCATCTTTCCATCCTTGCATGTATTGGAAAGGTCCTCACTTGTTGCCTTTATCAAGAGCACAAGAGACTTTCTATTGTACAACTTTTCACAGTTTCTGCTATGAGCTCCATCTGGGAACACGTATTCTCCTTGCACTTGTCATTTCGTTACGGTAC